CTGGAGCCAGGCTCGTGTACCCTCCCGAGCCGCCAGCACCAGCCAGGAGGGGCACGGATCCAGTAAACATGTGGTTGCATTCAGCCTCCCCAAGATCCTGTCCACGTCCTCGGGAGCCACAGAGTCAAACTCCTCCCATACAACAGTCTCAAGACCTGCTCCCGTATCCTCCCCCGGGGCCACCCAGTCAGAGTCAAGGTAGGTCAGGTCAGAAAATCTTCTGCGAGTGTTTGACAAGAACTCTCCTTTATTGAAATTGGCTCAAATAATCAACTCTTGCATGAATGCCTGTGTTTTCCCTATCCTCCCTCTTTTAGCCAGGAAATTCTGCCATTTTCTTTGTTTCCTGGACTTAAAGCACATCCATGTAGGTATTGCTGCAATAATCTCTGCGTAGTTTTTCCACGGCTATCTCTGTGACTCTCTACAACCAACTTCCCTTTAGATGTTCCACTTGTCCTCAAGTGCATGAAAGTAATAGTAGGTTTTTTCCCCAAAAGAAAATGGATATGTTTAGCCTAAAGAAGAGAAGGCTAATATGATACCAATCTCCCAGTCCTTGATGGGATGTCCCAGGGAAGAGGGTGTGAATTTATATTCCATAATACCTCCACAGTAGAGCAAGACGCAATGGATGGAAGCTTTATAGAGGCACATGGAAACTCAAAATAAGGAAGAATTTCCTGATCAAGAGAGCTATGAAGCAACAGAACAGCTTCCCTCCTGAAATTGTGGGAGCTCCATCACTGGAAACTATCAAAGAAAGATTGAACAACTATTGGTCTGGGATGGTCTGAATGTTTCTGCTTTGGGCAGGGAGTTGGACTAGATGACCTTTAAGGCCCCCCAAATAAGTCTGTTTCTAATTAGCAATAGCACTCAGACTTATATACCACTTCATAGTGCTTTACAGTCAGCATACTGTCCCCAACAATCTGAGTTCTCATTTTACTGGCCTTGAAAGGATGGAAATCTAAGTCAACCTTGAGTTGGTCAGAATCAAACTCCTGGCAGTTAGCAGAGTCAGCCTGTAATACTGCATTCTAACCACTGTGCCACCACAGCTCAATTATTCTAAGTGTGAAAGAGCTGGCTGAATTTGAAACAGGTTGTTTGAATCACGTAATAGATATTCTGAGCTGAAATCAGCTCTACTCAAGCATGATGCACTTCCAAAGGTCCAATGTATTTTGCTTTACACTCAAATTCATCACTGTACACTTGAAATGGAGTACCACTAATTCAAAGCTGTTCAGAACTGAAATATTTTGCGGCTAAGTATCCATGATCATTAGCCATGTTATTTTTCATCTTGTTGAGCTATCTTCCATCCAGATGAAAATGGAGGTTTGAATCTGACACTGGTGAGCAAGAGTTTACACAGTATAGCATTAAAAAAAAAAGAATGAGATCCTTGCCCTCAGAAGGGTCCTCTAATTATCCATCAGAACATGCATAGTTTAATAGAGGAGGGTATAATTCAGGGATAGGCAACCTTGGCTCTTTTATGACTCGTGGACTTCAACTCTCAGAATTCCTGAGCCAGCCACGAGTCATAAAAGAGCCAAGGTTGCCTACCCCTGGTATAGTTCATGACTCAGTTTAGAATTCTTGCACCGAACATGGTTTGAATGAGGTGACTTCAATGGTTTTTTTCATCTCCGTGTTTCTATATCTTTAGGAAGAATGGGAATTGTAACAATGGTTACGATGCACAGGGGTTCCAAAGGGATGGAAGTTAATAGAGTGGAGTAATTATTCCTCTTCCCCTCTACTAAATCCCCAACTCTGGGATTTTATAGTACAGAGGCTTGTTAGATACGGTCAAACCTATTTATACTGCCCTATTTCCAGCCAGTTTTTTTCCTCTGTATATCACCCAGGTATGCAAAACTAACCCCCAGTTTTAGATTGTCTGTCTTGACCTCAACAGAAATGTTCTGGCAATTGGTTCTCAACTTCCTAGAAGTGATCCGGTCTCCAAATGGGCTGAATAATTGCAAAATATTTTTTACAATTCCACAATAAGGTTTGACATGTTATCACTTGGATTGGGAACCAGAAGTTAATTAGAAAGCTGCAATTTATTGAGAAACCGTAATGTATGGTGGAAATTTTCTAGGAAGTGATGTTAATCTTGGACTTTAAAAAGCCCTCATTTACAAATATGGATGACAATAAATAGCCATATAATGATGACGTCCAAAGGGAGATGAGAATAAAAACAGGGGAGAAAAAAAACACTTTTGACATGAATATTTGTTAAAGTATTTACTTACGCAATAAAATGGTCATCTGTTAATGAGGGGCAATAGAGTTGAAGAATCTTTCGGAAATTATTTCTGCTAATAATGCCCTCTTTTCGAGGATCACACGCTTGCAAAGCTTTGTTAAATTCATTCCAATATCCTTTCACTTGCTCAGTTAGAACATCTTCTGCCTAGCGTAAAACCATTTAAGCAAGGAAATTCAAATTATAGAGAGTTGTAATGTTGCAAAAATTATAAAGTCCAATACACCAAAATTCTTGAGTGACTTTTTAAAAGAAAGCATTTTGTTACTTACAATATTCCAAGCTTCAAGGACAGAAGTTGGCTTTTTAGCCTTCTTTGAACTATTAGCCCACTTTGAATCTGTCTAATTGGATTTAAAAAAAAGTTAAAATTAGAATTCTCTCATATCATTTCTAAAGATCAAGGTCAGAAAGAACATAAAGGTTTTAAAAATCTTCAGTACACCATTCTGTGGGAAAATCTGTGGTCAATATTATATCCAGACAATTTATCAAAAGCCTGCCTTTATTAAGAGCAAAGGACAAGAGTGCAGATTTCAGAGGACAATAAAGCTGGCAATTCAGTAGCACAGAGTGAAAAATGTAAGCTTAGCCAACTGGATTTGATTTGCTTTCTTAAATAAGCAGAAACACACCAATCATGGGATTTTGGGGCACCCATATGGTTGATTCATATCAATTTAGATTGGCTACAGTGCAACTGTCATAAATATATGCTAGTTGCCAAGTGCCTAAATGCTGACCATGGGGATGCTGCAACGGTCATAAGTGTGTGAAAAACGGTCGTAAGTCACTTTTTTTCAGTGGCGTTGTAACTTCAAACTGCCACTAAACAAAGGACTAAGTCATTAAGTCGAGGACTACCTGTACTGCACGTCTTTCCTGTGCCTATTGGGTAAAGCAAAATGGTGATGCATTCAGTAGTAAACCAATAGTAAATCAAAACTATCATAAGAAATATAGTTTTTGACTTACAACCATAACTGAGCCCAGAATTTTGGTCGTAAATTATGCTAGTTGTCAAGTGGTTCATTACACGACTGTGTCCAATTTTATGACTTTTTGGTGGCAGTCATTAAGCAAATATAGTGGTCATTAATTGAACAACATGGTTATTAAGCAAATCCATTGTGTGTGTTTTCTAGAAATTGGAAGTAAACGCTGATCTCCAGCAAAAAACATAGTAAATCGCAATCATGTTGCTGCGGAACCATGCAAACAGCAGCAAATGCAGGCTGGATGCAAGTGCCCCAAATGAGATCACATGATCATAGGAGGGCCCCAGCTGTTGGAACTCTGAATCTGGGCTAAAAGTACATTTTTGGGGTCTATCATAATTTTGAACAGTCTCTAAGCAACCAATTGTAAGTCAAGGACTATCTGTAAAGCCTCCTCCAAGTTAGGTTTTGATTCCTGGAGACCTCACAAATTTGTCCATGTGATTTTTCTGAGCAGCAGGACAGAAATTGTTTACCATCACCACAAGGGTATTCCACGGGAGATGGTTAAAAAAATCAAAATGGCAGCCATGACTATGTAATCAAAACTCCACCTGTTTCTTACACAGGGTTTTCCACACCCCGCAGACACTCCTGCATGGCTGTTTTTCAGGAGACTCAGTCCAAACCCTACTTAACTTTTTCAAGATTGACAGGGTAACTTGCTGTTGTCAGTAGATTGACTTCCACAAACTCTTCTGTAACTTTATAGATCTAAGTTTTCAAGAGGAGCCCAAGGAATATGAGGTAAATAAAGGGTATTAACGTACAGTGGTATCTGTTGACATCTTGTCCTCCAAAGTTTAGGAATAGCTGTTTTTAAATCTTTGCTTCTTGTTTTAACCATTTATTCCAGAAAGATAATATAGATACAGTAATGGATTGGTGATGGAACTTACTACGGAATCTTTTTCAAAGAGGTTTAAAAATTCATTGTAGCTTAGATGTCCAGTATGTTCTGGATCAATTATCTTGATTAGCTCTTGGAAATCGTCATCACTTATTTGAAACATGATGCAATCTAAAATGCGCCGAAGCTCATTTCTTGTAATTTTCCCATCTTGATTCTAAAAACATAAGCAGAGCATTTAACAGTAGTAAAAGATAGCATAAAGCCCATAACTTTCCAATTTTACAAATCTACAAGATATTCAATCCTACTTTACTCTACTAGGCAGTTGTTTATTTAAATTATTTTTTAATTTTTCAGATCTAGTGATTGTGTAAAGCTGTTATCCAAAAATTGCAATTTTTGATTATATCAAAATCCAGAATAAACATGTCTGTAGGAATTCAGAAGGGATGCCCTAACCCTAATCCTAACTCTATCCTGATGCCACCCAGTCTGAGAAAGCTTTAATTCCAGTCTACCCTCCCCACACCCAGGTTATCTGTTGCTTTAGATATAATGATTACCACAGGTTTATAGAAAATTAAAATAAATCAGAATCAAAGTAAGAAAACACTTTGTCTGCCCTCTATGGGAGGAAAAATAACACTTTTCTGTTGATCTATAATTAACGTTATCAAGAATTGTATGAATTTTCTTATGTTGGTTTAGCATATGCAACAGTGAGAGCTTACTCCCAAAGGGAAATAGCGCGCAATGCACATACAGATGGAAAAGCAAAATATTTTTGCTCTATTCCAAGTAGCTACTATCAGGCATTATGTGACTGATTTCATCCATATTGGGAGTCATCAATATGTTATCAGATTTTCACACCTGAGATCTGTTGAAGATTTGTGGCTTCAACCCATCAGCGTACTAACTGGGGAATTCTGGAATAACTTCCAGAATTCAACATATCTTCAAATTGAGGTTGGGAAACTCTGCTTTAGATTACTGTCTTCAATGGGGGTGAAGATTTTGGTGTTTAGCAGTCTTTCAGGAAAGGATATACTATAGAATCCAGTCTACGTAGTTTATCAATAATATAATTGGGTTAGATAGTCCCTGTGATTAGTTGGACAGACATGGAGGAAGCTAACCCACCAGACTGCAAGAACACAAGTGAACAGTCAAACGAGGAGACCTGAACTCATTGGTAACCTTACATTGCAATGAACAACAACATACATTCAATTTTGCAGCTATTAAGATTGTTAGCCGAGCAGGTACAAAAATAGCCACGGAAATGATTGAAATCTGGAAAACAGGACCCTTGTCAGTCAACAGGAGTGCCGATGTACCACCAGTTTATCAAGTACTTAGGACCAAGACTTGGCAGCACAAGGAAACAACAGCCAACACCCCAATCAACAACTAAAAAGCCACACACAACCAGGCACCACATAAATACTACACACAGAATAGCCCAAAGCAAGACTAAATCTCTAATCCTGTGACCGACACTGATTGGATCTTGCAACATTATTCTGACACGTATTCCTTCATTCATGAGGAAAGTTTATTATTATTATTTTTTGCTAATGGCCTCCTGCTTTTTGAATTGACAAGAGTAATTTAAGATCAATTCAATGCAAAACTAAAAATGTCTGAAAGATCCCAAAAAGAATAATTGTGCAGGGAAGGGGAGAGAGGAAAGGCATCTTATCAATAGTCATACTCTGTCAAGCATCAAAAAAGCCTTCTTCAGAGAAGAATAAGCGTCTTGGATATGTCCATGCAGCTTTAAGAGAATTCGATCAGTTGACAAGGCTTCATCCAATTTTCTGCTTCTGTAAGGAAAATACGAGTTGAGTTCTACTACAGTATGTGATGTGACTGCACATCTCAAGATTCAGAAAATTCTATGTTAATATCACTAGGAATGAACTAGTGCAGGGGTCAGCAACCTTAAACACTCAAAGAGCCACTTGGACCCGTTTCCCAGAGAAAAGAAAACACTGGGAGCTGTAAAACGGGGGAGCTTGATTGAAGAGTTTAATTAAAAAGAAATAGAGGCTGCTGTGCATGAGTTCGCTCTCTCTCTCTCTCCCTCCCTCTGTCTCCCTCCCTCTCTCTCTCTCTCCCCTGTCTCTCTCCCTCTCTCCGATCTTCTGCTCACCTGGCAAGCTGGTTCACACTGTTCTCCAACAAGCTGACACACATTCTTATTGGGCTGGCTCTCTCCTGCCCTTGGTCTGCCAGTCCTCTTCCCCCACTCAGTGTGAGAGAGGGAGAGAGGGAGAGAGGGAGAGAGAGAGAGAGAGAGAGAGAGAGAGAGAGATGCTGCTTCCTGCTTCGACGCAGTGAAGGCAGGAGCCCCGCCCAATAACCTTATCAGCTTGTCCAAGAACAGCATAAGGCCACTCTCTTTTTTACACACACACACTGAGAGAGAGAGAGAGAGAGAGAGAGAGAGAGAGAGAGAGAGAGAGAGAGAGAGAGAGAACGGAAGTGCAAGTGCCTCTCTCTGTCTCTCTCTCTCTGCAAATGGAGGAGGCTGGGAGCCTCAGGAGAAGGCTCAAAGAGCCACATGCGGCTCCAGAGCCGTGGGTTGCCGACCCGTGAACTAGTGTGTCAGGCTTCAAAAACTAAGAAAGATCCATTGAGACTCTTCTAAGTAGTTTTCTTTATTGTTCCTCAAATATAGATAGAAACCTTGGCAATTTAAAGCAGGGCACTTGCACCATAAAACATGTACTCTGGGAACTATTAGCAAAGCGTCACCCTCTTCACCCTCTTTCTCTCTATTGAAACTGTGTTCTCTCCTGCTTCTCTGGAATGTACTCCCTCCCTCCTGGGAATCTGAACAACAGTTCATCACATATGTTGTGCATTCAGGAGACTGTTTTAGGAAATAACCAGGGAACCCCCTCTTTGGGTCCAAAAGAAATAAAAAGCTGCAGTCATAAGCACAAGCCCACAAGTTTGCTGTAGCTGCCAAAAACAAAAATCAGTAAAATCTTAGGCTGCATCAAGAGAGGTATAGTGTTAAGATCATGGGAAGTAATAGTTCCATTCTCTGTTACATGAGTCAAATCACACCTGGAACACTATGTCCTGTTCTGGTCCCTGTACTGAATCACAAGGGTGCTGTGGAAATAGAAAGAGTGCAGAGAAGAGAAACCAAGATGGTGAAGGTCTTGGGAGTTATAAAAAGCAGTTAAAGGAACTTAAGTCTGTTTAACTTAAAGAAGAGAAGGCTGAGGGGGGGGGGCGTGTTAGTAGTCTTCCCATTTTTGAAGGGTCCTCATAGAGAAGAAGAGGTAGACTTGTTTTCTGCAGTGCCCAAAACCTAGTGCCTGTATATAGTTGCATTTTTCTAAACGTTGAGTGATTTTTCAATAATATAAAGTGGAACAATTTCCTCAGAACTGAGATGGAAAATGGGGAAGATTGTTACAAGGTTACATCCATTTCTATTTTGAAGGAAGGAAGGAAGGAAGGAAGGAAGGAAGGAAGGAAGGAAGGAAGGAAGGAAGGAAGGAAGGAAGGAAGGAAGGAAGGAAGGAAGGAAGAAGAGATTGGGAAGAGAAAAAGGACTGTTCTAGCAGGCCAACCCCAATCCCGCAATGCCATATGTTAAATCTATCATCACACAGTGCAAAGGCCGTGGTGCAAAATGCTTGTATACAAAGAATGATCAACAGATGGAGATTGCATAAAGCTTCCTTAATGTCTCATTCTCTCCCTCTCCCATCTACCATACCATGTGCTACAGTTTAGAATATCTGTCAAAGTCTTATGAAACTTAATAAAAGACAAAAGCAGATCTCCATATTCCAATCTCTTTTAGTAAAGCCTGGTTCTCTAAGCCATGTGCAATTTCTCAGTAGATTATTAGGGATTTTTCAAGAAAAATATGAGTGATGATGCACATCTTTTCTTCCAGGGTAACTCGATTAGTGCCCATCTTGCTTCTTCCTTTGCAATAAGCAGTTGCAGCTTAGGATATAATTCACATGGGGAGACACTATAATTTGCAGCCCAACTAATGTTCTATATTGTATGAGTCTATGTTCTCATAATATTGTATATACTAAATAACACTTTGCGATATGCAAATATTCTACAATAAAATATGTAGTGTGGGTAGAGGGTGTTTTTTTTTTTATTTATTTATTTATTTATTATTTCAATTTATATCCCGCCCTTCTCCCGAAGGACTCAGGGCGGCTCACAACATTATTAAAACAAAGAAAGACCCACACACCCCACCGAATAAAACCAAATTAAAACCAAAATTTTTATGTTGTGATAATTAAAATTTCTAAAAAACCCAGTTTAAAAATCCTCCCTAGGCCAG